CACACACACACACACACACACACACACACACACACACACACACACAGATAGCATCAACAAAGAAGTCTACAGAACGAGTGGGAAGCTGTTCTACTTTCTCTACTGTTCATGCTGCATGGTGACATATCACCTGCAAGCAATGGGACCTGCGTTTTTCAAATCAGACAATATTTTTCCTGGAGCAGCACTTCACTACGTGATACTCAGCAAATGTCTGAATGTTTTTTTTAAAACTGTTTCAAATCAATGTTGAAAAATACCGTCATTCATTTCACCCTTTGTTTATTTAATTTAAACCTTTTTAAAGTCCGTAGCTTGGTTACATGGTCATGGTTACAATAACACACACCTGGGAATATTGAATATTGGTCTACCCTTTAAGGTTCAGTGTTGATGGTTTTCACCCCCTCTCTCTTGTTATTTTCTGTCAACTCTAGAATTGATTTTTTTGCCTCTTGTATGAACAGCCAACATATATGGCTTTTGTGTGTTATATCACTATGCCCTATAGCTGAATGTGTAAACAAATCTGGTAAGTGGAGAAATACACAGAACCACTGACAGTTCTGTGTCAGTGTTTCTGTGTGAAAGTGAGTCAATCACCATAACCTCTGTAAACAGCATTAAATAGATGGTTACAGAAGTTGTTATGGAACTGTACTTCATCTGGTTTTGTTAAAAATTAAAGTAAGAGCTAAATTTGAGTCACTGAACCTATTCTTTTGTGTTGTTGGTGCTTTTTGGAGCATTTTAATGGAATTTGCTGACTAAGAATAAAATGACTTGCTATGTAGTACTGGCCCGCCAGTGTTCACTTTTACTAAGTATAATGTATGGATGTGTGTTGTTGTTTCTTATGACATGTGTAAAAATAAATCACTTTGGTTATATTTTTGCATAGAGTGGACACACTAAGTGGCAAAATTCAGACACTTGTCCAGTTTGTGGACCATGTAGGACAGTCGTGATACCAGTGAATAGACTGGTATCCTTTAGTCAAGCCTCTTTCACACACTCTTTTTTAGGCCTAAGCACTTTTAAGGTAACAGTCACGCACACTCATGCAGCTGCACTGGGGACAATTCAGGGTTCAGTACTTAACCAAGGATACTTGGACAAGAGGAGCTGGGAATTGAACCACCAGGATTTACATACCAAGTCACAGATATGTTGTCTATTTAAGTTGCGATTAATTAACCTCTTAAGCCCCAACGCCCCCTGATACGGGGGCAAAAAGCAGGAGATCAGGTAGGCTTGGGGCTTAAGAGGTTAAGTTACTCTACAACCTAAGAGCATGCTTGAGTTTTGACATCTTCTGTCTTTCTGTTCTTCTCTGTACTCCTTTCAAGTGGGTGAACTTGTGCCAAAAGCCCCTACAGTGTTAAAACCCAGTCTCAAAGATGAACATCTTGTTAAATATATTCTTTCCCCTTCTGCAAGTTCTGCATGTTCAGTTTGGGTCAAAAGACAGCATCATGATAAGTTACTGGGAAAACGAGTCAGTTTTTATAGGCATGCTTGATTTTTCACAAGCTTTCTCCTGAGAATGTTTAATACAGTCAGTGCCTCGGTATTTAAATTTCTAAGACATATCTTTGGTTTTAATTTCTTCCATATTTCCAGAAATACCACTGGAATAAATCTTAATAAATTACGTTGGCACAGGACTCTTATCGAAATGACATATTTTTCAGTGAAGCAAGTAATGTTTACAATCAACACGGAAATAAAGTACGCACATTTTTGGGGGGTCTGATCCTTTCTTTCAATTATTGTATCAGACTGAAGGGAAGTGTCTGTACAATGAGCCAAAACAGCGCACATACTGAATGTCTGATGCAAATGCACACCCACAACAACAGGAATTCAGTAGAAAGTAAGAGCAGCAGGTTTGTGGCTTCTCAGTGTCACCTTTCATTCTTGTTTTCTTTTTCAGCTTCATCTTACCTGGAGAGGACCATGATAGTCTGCATCTGTTTTGTCAAAGTGAGGAGAATTTTTGTCATAACCCCACACTAAATATAAGAGATTTGATGCTTCATATTTGCTATTTCCTGTCTGGATATTTCATTCGGCCACATTATAGCATGGAAAGTTGCAGATGCCTCATACTGGTACTACTATGAATGTGTGGGTTTACTACTCTCATACTCCCATATCTGAAATAAAACTTCTCAATTACATTGATACATTGAAATCAGCGAGACTGGTGAAGGGTTAATCATTTGTATTAGTATCAGTAAGTACAGTGATTTAGCATCTCCTTTTGTTTGCAAAGTTCCCATCTTTGCGTTCACATAAATTTGTCTGAAACACACTTGACAGTAAAAACAGACTTAATAACTGAATGTCAGATGATGTTTTAATATGTGAATGGGAGACTGGAAATAAATCCAGTGCGCTTTTATTCTCTGCCTGCCTCATAGAGCAGGCTGAATTAAAAAAAAAAAAAAAAAACACTAATAAAATCTTAAGTCAGGTCTTTTTCACATAAATGACTAACTGGTCAAAATTTTAGTCAACCCTTTCACATATCATCAGAAAGTCAGATTCTATTATAACAGACTCGTTATCTCAAGACATCAATCATCTTTATTTCAGTTTTCTATCAGAGTGGGTTTTCTTGTTCCTCTCAACCTTCAGACCAAGAGGTGTGATGCAGATAAACAGATCTAAAATGAACGGAGGAAAAGGAAGTAGGCCTACACAGAATATTATTGTCATGACTAAAGCTCTAGTTTTTGCACAATAGCACTGATAGCCTCAACACACACACACACACACGCACACACACATATGTATATAACAGATGTGGAAAATTGCAAATGCTGAAGTGTTTGTATTCCTGATTCCTGCCGGCTGACTTTGAAATTGTGAGCAGTCCACCTGTCCAGTATAGAATCACCCTCTTTCCCAGCAGCAGCAAAGAATGGCTCAAGCCCCAAAACAACCTTCCCCAGTGTTATAGTTTCACCAAATGGAATATTTGTACGCTTCACTTTTCTGACACTATTCCATAGCTCAGCAATTATTAGAATATTATATAATGATTACAAGATTAATACATGATTTAGTATGCAGAAACCAGTATTGCATATGTAAGATGTAAGATGTAAATATGACTATTTTTTAAAATATTAATGCCTTGAAGAGAATATTTGTATGAGGCATACCCTGATTTATAGAAACTGCACTACATTTTAAACATCGACTGTAAATTTCATGTGATTTCATGTTCAGTTAACACAGGGCTTTTAAGTCGATCCTCCCGTTTCGCTAGCTAGCATATAACTTGTGATTTCAGCAGTTCTATTGGTCAGTTAGCAATAAATCAGACTAAGATAGAAGAGCAGAATGAAATGTGTTATTAGAAAGATGCTCTAAGCCTTTCAAAGCGGTAATACACTCTTTACCACTGCACTGTTATTTCCTGGTTTCAGCTAACAAGATGGCTGCAGCTTTTACAAAAGTCTGGAGAGGAGTTTTCACTTTTGTGCCTTTTTTTATTAATAACTCTTGTAACTCTCCTCATCCATACGTCCAACGCTGTATACAAGTTTACAAGTTCCACAACAACACACCTCATATTGATAGAACAAAGAACATGCTCTGGGTTATGTTAGTCATTAAAAAAAAACAAACATCTAATGTAATACAACACGCCAAAATCATTTCCAAACCAAACACACACACACACACACATACATTTAGCCAACACATAAATAAAACGTGTTTATTAAACATTATGAACGTCTCGATGTACTTGGTGCCACTAACGTGCAGTAAATGACGGAGAATGTCATTCTGACGCTAAAAGACTGAGAGTGAGGTAGAAATGAACTTTAATCATTTATTACATTAACACTAGGACAAAAAAGTCCAACTGAATGCTTCAGTCCCTGAGGGCACAATTTTTTTAAAAAAAACAGAGTCATTATAATGGCCTGAAGAGTCCTCACTTCACAAAAAGTAAAGAACAAGATTTTTTCAATCTGTTTTGTATACTTTTAAATAAATAAATGTTAAATACATTTAAATACATTTTTTTAAAAAACATTAATATTTTATATTTTATGTATTGACCCTACAAATGAGAAGATAAAATCTCTGAAACTGAAATGGGCTCAGGTCTATAAAAAGAGAGAGCTCGGCCACACACGTCCCGCTGTGCAACAGGACCTCTCTGTCACCATTTGATTTACCTCATCATGATCGTAAGCTTTAATAGTGCCAAATGTTTTAGTGTGTGCGTTTTTAAACTGCATGCATATATTAACATATCAAAGTTAAATGCACTGTAGTATGAAATCGTCACCTTTGATAAATCTCAAAATTATCATCTTAAATAGCTTCCCAAAGATTTCTGGGCCCTTCATCCTAACGAGATGCCCTCTCTGTTTTTGGTGTCTGTGTATCTGTGTATCTGCTGCTTTTGATAAAATTTTGATTTGAAATATTTGGACTGACTGTACATCCTTGTTGACTGAGTGTTGCCATCATCGCAAAGTTTTTAAAATATGCTCTGAACATCTCACTCTGCATTGAGTCCAATTAAATAACTTTTGAAAATTTATTGTAAAACAGTATGATTTGTGCTTACCGGAGAAGTGTATGCAGAACCTCCTCCTTGCCACAGTCTTCTTTTTCTCAGGTACTTCGAGGGAGAAATGATTCAAGGGGGGAGTAATTCCACAGGAAATATGGTTTTCAGCAACTACGACTTCAAGATGTATGACAGATAGACCTTATTTTGAGGAAGACTGCAAAGTGTGGTTGGCAACACAAGAAAAAGGTAAAAAAAAAAAGAAAAAAAAAAAGTTATATTTCACAAAAAACCCAAACAACCCAACAACAAAAAGAGCACATACAATTTTCAGCTTAATTTTTAATTTTATTCAGCAGCGCTGTGCTTTGTTGTTTTAAAGGAAAATATAATTAAATGTTAAATATCAGAATCAATCTTGGACATCTTGACCTGGAATAAATGTTTCTGGTACTGCTTTATGTACAAACACCAGAATAAAAAGATACGTGTTCAGCACTCACCTGACTATCTGAGAGCACGAGGACACATCAAAGCAGCACGACATCAACTTATATTTATACCCAGAGCAGGAGATGGGGGAATATAAAGCTCATGTAGTCAGCAAATCAAAACACACCAAGAAACTGCAACAAAAACATTTCCAAACTCTGCTCTGACAACCTAAAAAAATCTGTCTGTTGGAAAGTAAACCGTTTTATACCTGAGCAAGAAGTGCAAACGGATTTATGAAAGGTTCCGACAGTTTTGACAAAATAACAACTTTTTCCGTCTTCCCACATAGCTCACCTTCTTCTGTCCATTCTTTCACACAGGTTATGTCTTTATTCACCAGTCAACAGCACATCAGCATGACAGGTCTTTCAATTTAGGCCTGCACCAGAACTGCAATACAAGTGTGCAAATTTTAAAAAGTGACATTTAAAAGTGTTTTTCAATCTAAATCTATGAGGCACGAATGAAACAGGAAAAAAGTGAAAAACTGCTTTTCTAAGGAAGCACCTCTCTTCTTCTTAATGGACAATTTCAATGAATCAAACCCCAGCTTTGTATCTGCCTTCTGGGCATCCACTGAGTCTGGAAGGCAGACCAACGGCCCATCCGTGAGGCAGATATCTAAACCACATTGGGTCTTTGCAGCAAAATGCCAAAGAGCAGAATTCAAGTAAAAAATTTTATTTAAAAAACAGAAAGAAAAAAATCTAAAATTGTTTCATCACACAGAAGCATGTAACACAATCTGAAAATACATCTATATAAGTAATAATTCCTATTTTGTGAGTGTGAATCAGTTCTTCACTGGTTCAGGTTGGTGTGATATTCTTGAAGCCTACAGGACTCTGGACAGTGTGTCTATAACACTGGGACAGAGTTTTGGGTGAAGTTAAAAAAGCAAACACGTCCTGCAAAATGTCAGAGATTTGCATTTATTAGTTTAGTTTCTACATGGAATCAAGACCACATTCCTTGTTTATGTCTTAAAAGTAACACAAGAAGAATGCAGATTTTTAAAAAATATTTCTTCAAATTTAAGTTAAAAAACTAAAAGTAGAGCTCATGAAATTGAAAATTGACATTTCGATTTACATCAGACTGTAAGTTAATGATGTGTGACTAGAAAATGTGTTTCCTTCCAGTAATAGTACATATATGTGCAGCATGGGACTGCCGTCCATGCTTTATTTGACAGCTTACTCTAATCTATACAGCACTTTGTTGATCACTACCTGGAATTCCTGGTTTCTCTGAGCTGCTATGTCTGTTTATTGTCTCAGTGCTGGAAGACCACAGGCTTTTTTCCTGGTACCTACTATGTACATTCCTCTGTCTATCGTGAAAGTAAAGCAGTTAAGGTTCCAAAAAGCAGACCATTTCTGCTTGACGGGTTTTTCTTGTTTCCATCGAGTTTCACACTCAACTTGAGGTCTTTCATTTCAAAAAAGAAAGTGTAGCCAGATGACAGCAATGTAAGGACTCAGCAGTTCCTTCAGGTCTGAACACTTGAAGGAACTGGCTTATTTGTCCTTCCTCAGTGATACAGATATCTGCTGAAAAGTATGGCTTTGCACGTACACCTGATGCTGCAGTTATACCTGAGCTCAAATATGAGTTAGTACCATCTCTTACTGTGTGAGTAATGTTCTCGTGTGAATATTGGCAGAGTGAGAAAAGCTTTGATGACTGTACTTTCTGATTCCACACATGTCATTGTGATGAGGTGAAAATTCTTTTTTTTTTAATTCTTTTTTTTTTTGCTGACAAGCTTTTGTTCTGAGTACTGTTACTGATGATGTGTCTGTATGATTCAGAGCGAAAACATAAAAATATTGTTAGTATGTGTTAGTGATTCAGTTCTTCCTTCACAAATGTGTTGGATTTTAAGGCTGATTCAGCTGATTCAGTCCAGAATGGGGCTGACTATGTGTTTCAATCGAGGTCATATCCAACCAGTGTGAAGCTGACATTTTATAGTGAAAGTCCTGAATTCAGAATTTCAAAGAAATTAGATTTGGCATATTATCTCCTGTAGTTTAAAGTTTTGGAAGAACAAAATGCATGAATATATGAAGTATTTGCTCTCTCTGGTTCTCTACAGCTAGAAAAAGAAAAGCATTTTGACCTTTTAATTTTTAGGTCTGATTTTAAATCCAGCCCTCAAACACTGATGATTTTGAGTTATCTATTTTCACATCATTTTGTTCTCAACAAATTACACACCATATGTCATATTTTGTGATCCCTTAATTTCAGTTTGATTTCCAAATAGAAAACCTTTTGAGACACTGCCAAATAGAATATAAAACACTGCTGCATTACTTTGACTTTTTTCAGGTACAGTACCAGTGTCTTGGTAATGACAGTGTTTAAACCTTCACATCTAGAATATCCACTCTAACCAGCATTATTAAATTTGGCCATGGCACCTTTAATATGTAGAACCAGTCAGCACCTTATTTTCTTAGTGTAACGCAGGTAACCCTAACCCTGCGCACGCGGGTGTGTGTGATAATACTTGTGGCTTATAGAGCAGTAGGACTGCTTATACTTTTTGGGCATGTAAGGGTCATGCAGAGTCCTTAATTGAGCATCCACCCTGACAGCTGATCTATGATCTGCTTGGTTGAGCTAAAATATATACCTTTTTTTTCACTTGGCGTCTTAATTAATGGAAGTAATATCGTAAACACAATAATATAATCTTCCATTTATGATGTCAGGAAGTCGAAGTGCAGTCATGGACGCATCTGGATTTGATCTGACTCAAGCAGGAATCATATACTCATACAAAGTAATATATTATGTAAGTCAGAGTTCAAATACAGTCATATGAGGTCACAGTTAGTCATGTTACATTTACCCACATACTTTCATATTATCTTATTTAATTCTATTGGCAGCAATGTTGGACTGTTATTGTGTTACTGTGTGCATTAACTTGGTGGCCGCTGGGATTAAAGCCAAATAAGATAAGAGAACTAGGAGGCCATCTTTAAATGAAGCCAAACTGTTTTCAGTTTTCTTACTAATTTCTGTGGCAGATGAGCTCAACTTAATCGTAACTAGGTAACTTGATAAAAAAGGTTGAACAGGATAAATAATGTTAGCAGGATAGGACAGACTAGATTTTCTCAGCTGTCATCTTAGAACTTTAGCTAGTATAGAGTGATTATTACTAACATGTCTAGTAGGCATCATTTATCAATATTTAGTATCTTTTGGTTTCCTTTGGAGTGAACACCGATTCTAACAGACCATCTTCTTGTCATCCATACACATAATGCTGCTGTAATAGAATTTGTTTAGTTAGATAGCAAACTGTGTCCGTGAGCATGCATTTGTCTTGTATATTAACACTGTTCATTAGACCTTAAAGGAGCTTGATGTAGACTGAAGTTGGCCTACAAAACAAAAACCCTGCTGATCAATATATATTGTATGAAAAAAGACAAAAGGACATCATCACAGAAATCAATTGCAAAAGAAATACACACATTTTTTTTTGCAAAAGAGATTTAAACTTTAATGACACAACCAAGTGATTAAATCAACGTTATAAAGAACAAAGTCTTAATTAAACATTGTATTTCCATAAATCTTTTCAGTGGACTTATGGTAATCCTACAAATACAGCACTCATGGTGTGATATATTTAAGTCTTTTCTACTTCTGGCTGTGTGACTTTCTGTTCCGTGCTTTTTGGTTGTCAGCAGCTGAATCGGTCATAATCGACCGCTCAGTGTTCTTGCTCTGTGTCTAAGTGCCTCTTTGGATGACAGAGTTAAAAAGAACTTGTTTTTCACTATAATGTAAAGGAGCTGGTTGGGTGGCAGTGCCAGTCTGTTTATATGAAAATTCATTTAGTAATGAATAATTACTTATTGTTTTTAAACTGCTCGGAAATATTATTTCCTTGTGTCAGAATGCTTGTTCTGTGTAAATCTGTAATCATTTCAGTATCAACAACCTCAAATGGTACACGAATAGATTTTTTTGAAGAGGAAGTATTAAAGCAGTAAGCGGGGGGAAAGCCCAGTAACATGCTGTATGACATTCTAACAGGTGTAAACAGCTCATTCTGAGGTTATTTTTTTGTGTTGCCAAAGGTCATCTAACCTAACAGAATGCCACTGAGGCACAACGGAAGCTCAAGAACCTTCAAAGCTTTATTTTCTTTAGAAGGTTTTGTCATTATTATTAACCTTATTAGGTAACCTGTGCCTCAGGACTGAGGCAGATTTTCTCACTTGTTTTTTTTCTAAATTAAATTGATCACATCTGATGCAGTTATTTTTTTTTAAATCCATCTTTATTTTAAAATTTCTGTTCAGTTCATTTAATTATTTAACTCATTTGTTACTTTAAACATAATCTGTTGCTTCAAGGTACAAAGTCTAACGTTTCAATACGCGTATTACATAAACATTACCATGCTGTGTAAACATATATATGCTACTACTTTTTGCATTGCTGTATTTGCTTCACCAACATACAGCTTATTAGTGGCAATACAGAAAAGAGAAAGAAGAGCAGATTGCTGTAGGTCATTTGTTTATTCCTCCATTATTATATCCTCCCTTACTAAAATAGAGTCTGTCTATAAT